AGTAGATGAACAGATGACGGGAAGCCTGAAATAGGACACAACAGGAATCCCAAAAGAAAAAGTCACTCGAGCCTTGTCTTGTTTTTGGTAAAGCTTAACCCCTTGATCTAAGACTTGATTATTGACAACCCACATACAGGGTAGCCAGTGACACCACTGGGCTACAAGGATCGGTGGTATTGCTCTTCAATTTGCAATGTTTGTAGCCAACATTCACTGTCAATGTAGTTTGAATGAAAAAGTATTGATTATTATCTCGAGTTTTTAAATTTGAGTCTTGCAAGAAACATGCCGATTGACCTTGTGTATGTAGTTCATAAATGATTACGTGCATTCTAAATTTACGTTATCGTCAAAAGTTTAAAAGAAATGTAAACACAATGACAGAAATTTTTGTATGAGTTAAACACACCATCTACGCATCTAATGAAAAACTGTAATGTAAGTCACATAAGTTGATTTTTAAAAAAACAAAATAAAAATTGACAAAATGACGAGTGTTTGCAGTTTTTGAGAATGTACAACTTTCGAAAAGTTATGTATACTAAATCTACAACAAATTTAGACAGTTCCACAAAAAACTTGATAACTAAAATGATTTATGCCATACATATAATGATAAGACCTCATCTGGTGCATTCCATTAGGAGTTACATAGAGATGGAGAAGAGATTCAAAGTGTGGGTATACAAGGAAGGAGAGCCACCACTGTTCCACACCGGACCAATGAAGGACATCTACTCCATTGAAGGGCAGTTCATCGCTGAACTGGAAAGTGGGAAGAACCCATACCTGGCTCGCCACCCTGACCAAGCCCTGGCCTTCTTCGTCCCTGTCAGCATCGCCAACATTCGACGTTACCTCTACCGACCCCACCTCGATTATCATCGTGGCCGCCTCCAGAATGTTGTTACCGATTACATTGGTGTTATATCGCACAAGTACCCTTACTGGAACAGAAGCAGTGGGGCTGATCATTTCTTCGTTGCCTGCCATGACTGGGTACGACTTTTTTGTTTCCCTTTATTTGTGTATGTATTTTTATAAAGTTCATGTCTTTTGATCGTGATTAATTATCTTTGGCCAACTTCAGCCCCGACCATTTTTTGTATTTAAATTTAGATTTGGTTAAAAATGTACAAAAAAAATTTCCAAGCTCATAAATCGTATCCAATGAAGAAATTTTTTTTGTAAATTCAAATCAAAGGCGTTCTAAATACAATACTCAAAACATAACGGTCAAATATCCTCAAATGATTCACTCTTCTTTTGCTGGTCATCGGTGATTGGAGTCGGAGTCATCAAACCAAACAAACAACTTGCAAACAGTGGTGTCGTCGTCTTCCCCTTCACTGGTCTTTCGGTGTTTTTGCATTGAAGTGGGCTGTGTGGTGGTGGTCGCTTGCAGGTCTCATGGGAATTGGGATGAACCAGACTTTTGGAGAAAAATAATAAGAGAAAAGAGTTTTTGATAAGTCGAGCATTTTTTAAAAGATTTGACTATAAAAATAGGTTTATTCATTCAAGGGGTTTATACCAATTTAAATTTTTTATCCATTTTTTACTCAAATTTGGGTACAGGTATGAGACAATTTGCGATCAAACAACCATAATTTAGTAATGCAATCAAGAAACAGGACAATTGAGTGACAATGAGATAAAAAGCATAATTGAATGGGTCAAAGTGTAATTATTCCTGATTAATATGAAGGTTTTAGTGCTATAGGCATAAATGCATAATTCCTTTTTATTTTTCTAAATCCCTCTTCCATGTGACATTTCAGGGACCAGATGTTTCCACTGCCAACCCTAAGTTATTCAAGAACCTCATCAGAGTTCTTTGCAATGCCAACGCTTCTGAGGGTTTCCAACCGGCTAGAGATGTCTCCTTGCCCGAAATCAAAATCCCTGGCAAGGGACTCGGGCCACCTCGTCTCGGCCAAGCCCCTAAACATCGTTCTAACCTAGCATTTTTTGCCGGTGGCAATCACGGCTACGTAAGAAAAATATTATTCCAACACTGGTACGATAAAGACGATGAAGTCCGAATCCACGAGTACCTCCCAAAGAACGAAAATTACTTTGAATTAATGGGTAAAACAAAGTTCTGCCTATGCCCTAGTGGGTATGAAGTAGCTAGTCCTAGAGTTGTTGAATCTATATACGCAGGTTGTGTCCCGGTGATTGTTTCCGATGGCTATGTGCTGCCATTTAGTGATGTTCTTGATTGGAATAAGTTTTCAATTCATATTCCGGTGGCGAGGATACCGGAGATCAAGAAAATCTTGCAAGGGGTTTCAAATGATGAGTACTTGAAAAAGCAGAAACTGATTTTGCAGGTGCAACGACATTTTATGCTATATCGGCCGGCCCGGCCCTATGATTTTATGCAGATGGTGCTTCATTCAGTATGGCTAAGGAGGCTTAATGTGAGGCTACCATTGATGTAGCATTGTTATGTAATTGAATTTTTGCTAGATGATGCTTTTATAAGGTGTAGTGTACAATATTGGGAAATTTCATCTTCCATTAATACGTGTTGTTTACCTTTCTTATGAATGAAAGGTGAAAATTTTTCATTTGCATTGTTAGACTTAAAATAGACTTGCAGAGATCGGCTCACCGAAAGTTAGAGGTTGGTCTAACGACCATTATTTCATTGTTGAACTTTAAGGTAATAGGTTTGAATCTCGTCGTCCACCTCCTTATAATAGCGATTGACCAAAAAAAGAGATCAAATCACCGAATTACATTGTGGCCATTAGATGAGTTGGTGTCAATTTGATGCAACACACTCACTCTATACTATCTTGAGTTTTACTCTAACGAGCTATTTCGATAATCAGCAAATGCACATTCGAGTGAGATGGTGTCAACGAATGTCTTTTTTTTTTTAGCATATTTTTTGAAGAAAATTTTGATTGATTTTGTGTACTAGTCCAATTAGGAATTTGTTTTTTATTTTTTATTTTGGAAATTCTGGTTCATCTTTCTAATTTGATAAAGGGTTACAATATCATAAATAGCCAATTATGTGGCCTTCTGTATGGAGGGCATTCAATAATGGTCCACTTGTTCCCGTAATCTACTAAAACAAGTGTTTTTGTTATGAAACTAAGTAAAACAGATGTTTGATTCATTAATTCACTATGAGTTCGTTTGGTAGACGTATTATGAGGGAATTAAATATTAGATTGTACTATTTTTTATTTAATTAGGCCTAATATGTTATTTGGTAAGCAAATTTGATACGGTATTAATTTCAAAAATATATATTTATCGTATATTTTTATACGATATACCTGTATTATGGAGGTTCTTTAATACCACCAAAAGATGTGGTATTATAATATAGCTCAAACGTATTATTCTACACATTTACTATTATAACCCTCCAAGTGATAAATTCAAGTTGTCATCAATATAACAAACACTGATTAAAAGTATTTTTGTTAATTCAACATTAATACGATAAAATAATTCTCTAACCAAACAACTTATTAGATTAAATAATTACTATCCAAAGTTTATATTGTGTGTTGTCAAACACTAGATAAACTTACATAGTATTCTAATATTATATTTAACATTGTTTTTAATTCATCTGTATTGTATTAGACTGTATTATTTTATCTAATCCATCTAATTTTAATATGACAACCAAACAAGCCCAATATACATTAAACACATATAATATCTCTCTTATTTAATATACTTTCTCTTATTTTTTAAAATTATTATATAATAACATATGAATAAATGCAAATGATAAGTTATGCTAACCCAAAAGCATTTATACCCTTACAAATATATCAATTTCTCAACAAGATTTAAAAATAAAAAAAAATTACAAATTTTATAATAGAATTGATTAATTATAGATATTATTGAGATTTGAAACAATGTAACCTTTCTACAAATATCAATTTCTCAACAAGTTAAAAAGAAATTGCTTAGAAATTTAGCATAGAATTGATTCATTTTAGACAATTCTTAAGATTTTAACCAATATCATTGTGTTTCTCTTTAATATATGACTGAGATGAAATGTACTATTAAAAAAATTATTGTTCTTGTTTGTTCATATTTTGTTATATGTTGAATTGATTTAGGTTTCAGTCTTTGTATAACAATTATGTTACGGATCTTAATATATTTCTCATAGCTAAACTTTAAAAAAAAATTGTGCAAAATTTACGAGCAATTTAATCCTTATTACTAGAAGTGGGGGAGAATTTTTTATACCCATTGATTAAATTTCATTTATTTTTTTGTCCCCACTAGGACATAATCCTAGCTTTACCCATGAATAGGAGAGATTGGGTAAACTAACGATTTGGTCTATCTAAAAAAGAAAAGTTATGGCATAAAATTGATAGGGTCGTTTTAGAATATGAGTAAAGTTTAAGTGCCAGAATGTAATAACATTAACTCAACATGAATCAAGACCAGTTCATCTCCAATACATTTTGCCTTTAAATCTTTTGATATTAATGAAATCCACTATCATGAATCTAAACAAAGCCTTTCATATTTAAACTTATTATTAATACGAGATGCATTGATAAAAATTGAAGGAGACGTTCGTTAAATAGAATCTTTGCCGTAAGTAGATAAGCATGACATGTAAAAGAATCATAAATACATTTATGTGCAAAATTTTTTTAAAAAAAAAAAGAAAAAAATAAATAACAACACGTAAATTTGCTTACCAATATCTTGAAGATTAGTTTTTCAAACAACAATAACATTAGATTATATTATAGTGTAATTGCAGTTAGTAGGAGGGACAGAATCGTAAAGTCAATGGGTTCACAGCGTCACGCTTAAAGCCTTGTTTACGCCATAAATTTCAGAGTTAGAAAGGGAGGGAGTGGCCATCTCTGCCAATCCCCGCCTTCCCTTTCTATTCCCAGATCGCTTTCCGATAAATTCCACAGAGAGAAAGCGCAGAGGGAGCGAGTCTCGAAGAGAGAGAGAGAGTGTCTTTGTATTCAATGATGAAGACTAGTAATGGAAAAGGATCAGTCTCTGTTTTGGTGCTGTGTTCAGTGTTTGTATTGTTGATCACGGTCGTGTTCATTGTTAATTCAGTCGACTTCGTTTCGTTGATCCAATTCACTACTGGTTCGAAATCGGAGCATAAAATACAGGCCATCGAGTTGCAGACGACGGCGATTACAACTGCACTGCGTGGATTCCGAGCTGCTTCCTTCGCCGCCGATAGTCACTCTCCAAACGTAACAGTCATTGCGAGCAATAACTCCGCTCTGCCTCATGTATGTATATTTGTTTTTTACAGTACTGTATGTATTTGTTTTGCTTACTTAAGCTTCGGATGATCTTTACATGGAGTAATGACAGCATAATGCTCTCTCTCTCTCTCTCTCTCTCTCTCGTTTTGGAATTAGAAAGTACGTAATTAATTGCAAGAAATTTGATATTCCAGTTGCAGAGAAAAGACCAAAAACTGGAGCAAGGACTGGCCCGGGCACGAGCCGCGATTCGGAAAGCAGCTTCAAGATCAAGCCAGAACCTATCGGCGATCCGCCGTATTGTCTCCGCTGAAATATTCCGTAACCCCGGCTCATTTTATCAGTAAGTTTTTTTTTTTTTTTATAGTGTAAAAAAATTAAGAATAATATTATTTGACTTTAAAATTTTAACTTAATTTGTTGACATAATGACGTGATTTCAATAGAATTATTAGATCAACACTAAATTTTAATATTTAATAAAATCCATAATTAATTTAAAAATTATAATAAATTAGATTAGCAATAAAAAGATTTGAATTCTTGAACTTCAGCAATACAAAGACTTGGAAGACTTCTAATTGTAAGACTTGGAAGCCTTCTAATTCACGCCTGGTGTGCCCAGTGCGCACTCACTCATTGTTCCCTCCACTCTTCTTATGGAGGAGAAATAAAAAAGCCATGCTAATGGCATGGTACTCATTGCTACACCAGCCTTGAATAGTGAAAAGACAGGAATGCCCTTCAACTTAAACAGAAAGCAACTCGATTAATACTTAATACCCTATGAAACACATTATTATATGTTCACACGTGCATTCCCAGAGATATAAAAAAGTCTATTAGTATGACCATGTAATGTACTATTCAAACAACAAAAACGAATAAGACAATGTTAGTTGGACTGATTGAAAAATAAGATAAAAATTTGGAATTCCATGATGTGGCACTGATGTTTTTTTTGTCCCACTTTTATTCATTTTAATATTAAAATTATATGTTTACCATGTTAGCCTCATAAAACAATTTTGCAAGTTGGAATGAGTTGATCTTGCATTTTTTAGAGTTCTTAACCTGAAAAGCTTTTGCTCTTTTAATCATCTCACCATTTATTAAAACAACAACGAATCACCAATGATTACTAATCCATTCATATCTAAAGGTTCCTAGGAAGTGTAAGTTACACAATGAACTTAACCTTACCACTACTGATAATTGTTATCATGTAACTGTTAGGCTTCCAAGGCTTATAAACTTTTTGTTATTGAATGAAAACTACACATATAAGAATAATGATATGTATCTCAAGTTTGCATTCCAAATCAAGGAGAACTATTGGATCAGTGAATTCCATTTAAAAAAGTTGATGGAACCTACTAATCAAATAGTTCTTCTTGATTTGAAATACAAATTTAAATTACAAATTTAAGATATATAACACTACTCCACATTATAGACGGCTATAATGACTTTACAGTTTTACTTCTGTTTCTGAAGTGCCCAAAATGGTCACTTCCATGCTTCAATGTCATTTGTATATACTATGTATTTAAAGTGCTCTTCAACTTCCTGTTATTGAGGGCAAACTACACAACATAAATGGCGATAATGACTTTGACAGTTTCATCCCTTTAATTTGTAAAGTGCCCAAAATAGTCAGTTTCATATCCAATCTTCCATGTCTTAATGTCATATTGTATCCTATCTTATTTAGTGCTCTTAAACTTCTAGTTATTGAGTGCAAACTAGACACTAGAGATGGCAATAACAACTTTTCATTTTCCTGATTCATCCCCTTTCCCAAATAATCATTTCATATTCCAATATCATTTAAAAAATATTATTTTCACCTAAAATATTGATCTGGTCTAATCGATTACAACTAGTGAATAGATATTGGGTTCTAACAAATATTGAAACTCATAGTGATTACTCAATAAACCAAGTTCGTATTTTAAGTGAGAAATATGATTGCTCATTTGCTCATACCATATTGGTATATTATATTAATGAAACGATTAATATATCCTTCTTTTGAAAAACTTGGCAGGAGTTATATGGAAATGGAGAAGAGGTTCAAGGTATACGTGTACGAAGAAGGGGACCCACCAATCGTACATGATGGGCCCTGCAAGAGCATATACACAATCGAGGGTAGATTTATACACGAGATGGAGCACGGTAGTAATAGGTTCAGGACAAGAGATCCTCACTTTTCTCACGTTTACTTCATGCCCTTCAGCGTCGTTTGGATGGTAAAGTACTTCTACAAGCCTAACTCTTACAACGTGTCTCCTCTCAAAGAGTTTGTGGATGATTATGTGAATGTCATCTCCACAAAACACCCTTTCTGGAATCGAACTCAGGGTGCTGATCACTTCATGCTTTCATGCCACGATTGGGTAAGTCCTTCGCCATTCATCTTTTTTGAATGAGGAAATTACATATATTGTTCTCAAATTATGACATTTGTGTCAATTAAACCCTTAATTTTTTTTTTGTCAATTGAATTATTCTATTTGCCTTCGTTAAAATATGTCACTCACGTGACTATATTGCATAAAAAGGCAAAATGACTCAATTGACACAATTAGAGAGTTCAGGAACTTAATTGACAAACGAAAAAAGTTCAATAACTTAATTGACACAAGAATTATAATTTAAGGGTCATATATATAGTTTATTTCAACCTTTTGTGTCACATGATTGACACACTTCACCACTTTCTGTTAGAAAATCTAATGAAGGCAGACAGAATAGAAGGTCTCAATTGACACAATTAGAAAGTTTAAGAGTTCAATTAACATAAAAAAAATTCAAAAGCTTAATTGACATAAGGGTTATATGTGTAATTTATTCTTTTCGAATTATATATTGAATTTGGTGAAGAAGTTGATTTTAAATTGAGTTCGTAAGTGTGCATGAAATAAATATAAAGATGATGAAATCACGAAAAAAATTTATGGCGGATGGGAGACCTAATTTGAGAATATAATTTAGAACATAATTTATTACTACTATTATGTCGAAAATATGTTTCAATATTGAATTGGGCCTACCGTCAATTTGTTGACAATAATATATTAGACCTTCAAATTAGGTACAAGTAGTATTATTAATAACCCAATTGGTGCTACTTTTGCTTATTATACACACTCAAAAAGAACACAAAAAAAAAAAAACCAAAGCAACTAAAAGCTCAAACCCTTGCACAGCTGCATGCACACGCATACATGTACTGTGGAAGGGTATATGTTTGTTTATTTGGTAGCAATTTTAGGACTTCCACCTATGTTTCTGTATATTCAAGAAGCGTTGCTGGCCAAATCAAAAAATTGAAAAGACAAAAAAGAACGGAATGAACAGTGTACTTAGAAAATTTAGAAGGCAAACATGCATTGATTCTAAGCCCTTTAATTCTTTGTATGATTTTGGCAACAATGCAAATACACCAAACCAGTCTGAATTTTTATATCACCACCGATTATATATTAAATAAGTTGTCTACATTATCCGACCCTTCATGACTCCATAGTGACAGGAATCTAATCACCCATGTGTTTGGGTACCCTTCCTAATCTATTACATATTTAACAATTCAGTTATATACCTCCTCACGTCAGTTTGGGTTCCAACCACTGCAGGGTCCACTTGCCTCAAAAGGTAACCCATTCCTCTACAACACTTCAATCCGGGTCTTCTGCAATGCCAATTCCTCCGAAGGCTTCAACCCACAGAAAGATGTCAGCCTCCCAGAAATCCATCTCTATGGTGGCATCGTAAACCCCAAGCTCCGCTCTCCTCCACCAGCCAACAGTTCAAGACCCCACCTTGCATTCTTCGCCGGGGGAAGTCATGGTCCAATCCGGCCAATCCTCCTCCAGCACTGGAAGGGCCGTGACCCCGACCTACCAGTTTTCGAATACCTTTCCAAGGATCTAGATTATTACTCTTTCATGCTCCAATCAAAGTTCTGTCTATGTCCTAGTGGGCATGAAGTGGCTAGCCCAAGAATTGTGGAGGCCATTTATGCTGAATGTGTCCCAGTGATACTATCTGATCACTATGTGTTACCATTTAGTGACGTGTTGAAGTGGGAGGCATTCTCAATACAGGTTGAGATTTCGGAAATTCCGCGGTTGAAGGAGGTGTTGATGGCAGTTCCGGAGGAAAAGTATGCGAAGCTGAAGGAGGGTTTGAGGGCCGTGAGGAGACATTTTGTGTTGAATCAACCAGCTAAAAGGTTTGATGTGTTTCATATGATATTACACTCTGTGTGGCTTAGGAGATTGAATGTAAGACTTTGATAAATGCTATATAGATTTACTTGTGGATAGAAAATTAATGAAAAATTATATTAACGAAAAATTATAAGGTAGTCTTGATAACATTTTTACTTTTTTTTTTTTTCATATATCTACTCTCAGCAAATTTTTAATTAACTTTTATTTTGCATTTTTTATTTCTTTTTTCTATTTTCTCGTCTTCCTTTAAGCTTTATCTCACACTTCCCCGTAAATAGACCTAAATACAATGACGCCCCCTATCTTTTCTAAAATTTCACTATGCTCTTTTTTAGTTCTTATGTTCACTTTATTCACACCTTTTACCGTGAACAGATTTGATTGACACACTAAAAAATCTTTAAACAATACGTGAAAAATACGTCCCCAAAGCATATATAAATTTGTACTGTTTTATTAGTTTAGGCAAGGATTAGTGCTACCATACATTCGATTGCCGTAGTGCAGTTATCTTTCAATCAATTTCCGATCCCCAGTGAGGCAGTGACATATCATGAATTCGCCAAGGGGACCATGGCTCAACTCTATTACCCGGAATGATTTCAAAAATCATAAAGCTGCCCCTTAGTTTTTCAAAAAGTATTGTAGATAATTTTACTTGCTGTGTACAAAAAGTTCAATAGGTTGATACTTATAACCAAGTTAGAAATGTAATCACATGCCTTTACAGTGAATATATTTGTTTGGATGAATATCATACCCAAAGGAAAAAAAAAAGTGAAATAAACTCAAAATCGAGTTATAAATTTGACTTAGATTAAGAGTAGTGTATCAATTAATGACTTATTTCTAATATACATGGTATCATTTGAAACTACTGCTTGCAAATGTAATCCGTTCGTAGTCATTACATCATATTATAAATGAGACACTATAAATATTTATAACGGTAGTAAAAATCACTTTTAAAATTTTATGATACAAACTAATTTTTCTCATAGAATTTATTCGGGTCCCCCACACCAAAAAATTAAATAGGCTCACTATGCAAATAAAAAAATAGAAACCCAACCATGCCAAATTACCAATAGCCTTTGGAGATTTTTCTTCAAAATCTATTTTCCCGTCTCTTTTTTTTTTTTTTGTTTTTTTCTTCTCATGTATAAAACTCCCTCCAAGTAATGTTACAACTAACACATTTAGAAAGAGAGAGATAAACTAGGGCTGTCCCAATGGAAATTGAGGCCCTAAGCAAAAGTTATAAATAAGGACCTTTAAAATTAATAATAAATATATACGATAAATGATTAAAATTTTATTAAAAATTATTGTTCTAGCTTTTTTGTGATGCAAATTAATAATTAAGTTTCTATATTCAAATTTTGTTAATATATTTTTTTTAGTTGATAATATGACTAACTCACTATAATTTCTTTAGAATATTGTTAAAAACAAAATGAAACAATAGTAGCTTATAATTAGAGATTGTATATAAACATTAATTCTTTATTTGTATTTCAAATCGTCTATTAAGTCTGACATTTGCCAATAAAAAAGAATAATGAAATTGAATTAAATTATATTATTAAAAATATATAATTATTATTAAATAAAAAAAATTTAATGTCATTACAATCCTACATAGGGGTAAGATGATCTATACGTTTATATTTGTTTATGGAGAGACAGAGGGTTGACAACCAAGCCTTAAGCTTTTACCTTAGTAAAGTAGATAATTAATGAATGAGAGAGAGAGATGTAGGATTTTCTTAGTGGTGTATGTGTTTGCTATTTTTTATTATATGAAATTATTTGTTGTCATTAATGAAAGGGTAGAACTTTACTATATATGAGTCTTATTAACCCTGAATTTTATCGGGTCAAATAAAATTATTGAATAAAGACTACAAGTAAAAATAGAGCCCCTTTTTTTTAGGTCCCAAGGGAGAGGTTTGAGTGGCTTACCTTCTAAGTCAGTTAGGGGTGACAATCGAGTTGTGTTGTGTCGGATTTGTGTCATGTCGAATATTAGTCGTGTCGAACATTAGTCAACTCATACCCAACTCATTTAATTATTCGTGTCGTGTCGAGTTGACCTGTTTATTTTCGTGTCATGTTCGTGTTGACCTATATAAACTTTAAATAAAAAATTTAACGCTAATATTTTATTTTCACTTAATTGAATCTCTCCTCATACTTTGTCTAAAAACTAAAAATTAACTTAATAATAATAATAACAACAATAATGAGTAATAATATCTTTTTTATACAATAATTATATCAGTGCATGATAAACAGTTATAAATAATTAATATTTTATTTATATAATACTAATTAAATATGTTAATCGTACATCATACAACCAAATTAAACATCAGAAGTAATAGAAAAAATAAGTCATCAAAACATGAAAACTCATACATGTAACGAAAAAGTCAGGTCAATCTCCTTCGAATTAAAAACTTTGTGTTGATGGGTCAATTCGTGTTAAACGGGTTGAACCCGAACACAACTCATTAACACTTCGTATTAGTAGGTCGTGTCATACGCGGGTCGTGTAAAAAAATTAATCAATTCAAACTCATTTATTCGTATCGTGTTTCGTATGTCGTATTAAAAATTGTCACCCTAAAGTCAGCATCTTAAGGTTTCTATTGATATTTTTTATATACATGGATGTGCTTAGGCTACTCACCAAGAATAAATAATTAATTCATTGTAGGTAATTTTGTAATTAAATTAAAATATAGAAAAAATCAATGTTATACACCAAATTATTTGGTAAGCTTATCCGTCCACATCTATTCCTTTTTGTCATTAACTGCCCATTCCCATCAGTGTCTCACCCACAACACCTATTCCCTCTTTCCTCTCTCAAAATAATTATTGAACAATCAAAGACCACTGTTATGTTAAAGTATTATCAAAATAAAAAATAAAAAATTGGGTAGTTATTTTTTTTTAAAAAAAAAATTGTGATTTTTGGGAAAAATTAAAAATGTGTGAAGTAAAAATGACACGAAAGACTATTAATTCAAAATTAATGACTTTTAACTAAAGATACTAATCTAAATAGTTATATTTTTTTTATAAAAATCACTATTAATATTTTTTAGTTAAAAACACCGTTACAAATTGTCACAATTTTTTATAAAATCACATTTGATATCTCTTGAACTAAAAGATACAATTTCAAATGGTTGTACAGTTTCATAAAGTCGTCATTGATAGCCTTTGAACTAAAAGACACCATTACTTATAGTTACACTATTTATGAAAAATTACTAATGAGTCTATAATAAGTGATATCTTGCACTCCTAAAAGCATATTATTGAACAATTTTTTATTTTTCTTACTAGAATTGTTCTTTCATTCTATTTCTCTCTATTATCCCAAATTCAAATACATCTATTCTTTCTTTTATATTATATTTAATATTCTATTTTCTGCAAAGTTATAATACTGAAAATTGGTTATTTGATTTCCTTAAGATATTTGAGTAATGTGATTGTAGTGAGGAATATGGGAAACATGATATTTATGAAATCTTCATTAGTCAATCTGATTATCATTTATCTGAATTATTTTATATATTTTTATATAAATATTAAAAAAATAAATAATTATTTAAATAATTTAATAAAATTTAGGTATAATTTATAAAATTTTAGTTAATTAATTTATTCATATTAGATCTAATCTTGAATTGTTAACGGATTCGAATGTTAACCGTAGAAATAAAATTTGTCAAATTATTAAATTCGAATTCGGATCAGTCACAATCTGATCTATACTTGATTAGTTGACGGGATTAATTGTAATTTGACCTTCTTTAGGGTGCCGGAGGTATTAGAACCCCCACGTGTCAGCTGAAGGAGCCGAAAGATCTACGGAGACTCCGTCAGACCCCGTGTAACTTTGCATTTTCCCTTCCCTGAACCAAACCCTGCCGCCGCGAATTGGATAGCCGATTCAACTTAGCGCCGTTTGGGAATCTGTGTATCCATCGTAAGATCGTCTAAATCCTTACTTATTTAGCTGCTTTTCGGCTATTCAGTTTCTCAATTTCAGTTCTAAATCGAGTTTCTTTGCTATGTCTTTGATTTAGGTTTCACTGTACATACATACCTATTTGTTCAATTGTCTATTTATGAATGTGTGATGGCAAACCCTTATTTAATTTCTGTTTGGTTGCCGAGAAAGATTAAAGAAACCACCAATTACCTCAAAATTAGTTTATTAGACTGTGGAGCAAGCGGAAAAAAAAAATGAAGAAAGAGAAAAAGGAAAAATAATATACCCATCAGAAGAAGTTGAAATTTTTGGCTTTAGCTTTACACAATCCAATCAAAGATTCAATTTATTTTTTTGTAAAACCTCTCTCTCTCTCTCTCTCTCTCTCTGCATGTGTGTGTGTAATTCTTGTGTATTACGTGAAAGTTGATTGATAGAAGTGGGGCTTATGGTATGTTTGGTTGGGTGGATGAAAAAATGGGAGGATGAAAAGTGAGGGGGATACACTTTCCATCTTTTCAGAGGAATCATTTTTTCCTTTCTTTGTATTGGCAGGAGGGATAAAAAGTAGGAGTGATTGATTTTTGTATGTTTGGTTGGATGAAAAAGTGAAAAGATGGAAAAAATTTAGATACATCTTTTTCCATTGTATTTGTATCTAATATTAATATACACACATAATTAATTTTCACAATTTTGGAGAAATTGATTTTGTTAAGTCTAAAGAAAAAGCTAATTCATCCATTTTTGTTTTCCTTCCTTACTAAACATAATGTTTTATCTATCTTTCTAACTTTTCATCTTTTCATTTTCATCATGCCAAACAAAGCATTAATGTTTTAATTTGCTTCAGAAATTGTGCTGGAGTCCTTGCATTGACATTTATTTCCAAGTAAAAAGGTAATATAGTAAGACCTTAGGCACAGACACAGACCAATGGTAGGGTGCGGGTTCGAGACTCATTACCTCTTACCACATAAACTTGTTTTTAGATGTCCATAAAATAAAAAATAAAAAAAGAAAAAGAAAAAGAAAAAGAAAAAAAGAAAGAGGTGGTACAATAATTCCTAAATATATCCAAACATTTCCAGCATATTAGCTATAATTGATTACACATTAAATTGAAATGAAGTGGGAGGGAGACACTTGGGGTGATGGATAACCAAGTAAAAGGTCATCTGAGGTAAAAAGCATGCATGCAATTCGTTCCATTGATTTGCAATGGATATTCCCACCTAATAAATTTGTGGGATTCTTTGAAGTTAAGAAGAAAAAGATGTTATGTTGTAGGAAGAGAAGACCATTAGCTGAATAATTTCTAGTGCTTAAATTTGTTTCATATCAGATTAGTGTAACTGGACGCCAATCATTGTGTATGCAAACACACACACACACACCCAATATGCGTATATATGCATGTGTCATTATAAGAAAGAAAAAGACAAATCAAAAAGATTAAATATATACTCATTGATACAAATTTGAATTTATTTCGGTTGTCATTTTGAGTCATTATTTTCTAAAATTCTGAAACGAGTATAACTCCTGGTGACTTGGATAATTTTTTTTATATATGAGATTAGTG